TAAATCTCCAGCACGTGCTTTCAGATGGAGCGGCATTTACTACACAGAGCCGTAGATCACTGACAAGCTACACAAAATCGCAGGCGATTTTTTGCATAGCCCTAACAGGAAGATAATTAATATTATGATATTTGAATTAAGATTATTATATCAGTTTTATTTATATGTAATAATAATAATATTAATAATAATAATAAGCATTTCTTCTTATTATCCTTTTTTTTGTGGAAACTGTGATACTTTTTTTCAGGATTCTTTGATGAACAGAACGTTTGAAAGCATATAACAAAACACTGGACAGTTTAAAATGTTTCACAAATGAATCACAAAATTCAAACGTCATGTTTCTACACAGAGACTGAGTTAAAATTAGTGCTGTCAATCGATTAAAAAAATGATCTAATTAAACACACATTTTTTTTCTGAAATGAATTGCGATTAAACATTAAAGTTTTTAAATAAACTTTTATATTGCATTAATTTCACATTCCATCTTCAAATTAATGTAGAAACAGCATAAATACAGTATATTTTTAATATTTGTTTAGTGGCATCTTTTTTATGTCTGAAGGCGAGTATCACTGATACCAATACTACTGATGTCTCTATGAAAATTGTTTTTTTTTCCTAATATTTAACAATTGACCATTCAACATTACAGTAGCTATAATTGAGAGCTATCAATTTTAACATTTATTAGACTTTAAAAAATAACTTCCAATTTAAGTAAACTTAAAACAATATTTCACTTAATAATAAATGTCATATTTAGCTTACCTGTGCCCTTCAGCAAGTAGGAAATATACAGAAATTGAATAAATTTATCAAACACTAAAGCTACAAAAGTGATTGATTTCCTCCTTTTCTTTTGTTCTTTGATTAACAGACATCACAGCAGTTGGGTTATTAAGTTATTTTGGCTGCTTTAAGATCTGCCGCTGCTGAACATGACGCGGATCTGACACGCATCGTATTTTCTCACAACTCTTTACCTTTTCTGACCCACTTCAGGTCTTAAAGTCTGTACTAATGAGCTGACGAGTTGAATCGGGTGTGTTAGATGAGGGAGACAGTGCTGGGCTGCTCCACGACAGTTTTGAAAACCACTGCATTTCAGAGACATGTTCTTAAATCTGACTCATATTTAACAAATACTTACAAGCACAGTTTTAAGGCAGCTTTAATCACCTTTTTGGCAACTTCATGATTTAACTGACGAAATAACTACCACATTGCATGCTCGTAGTTTCATTTGCGCTTTAATATGATATAGTGTTTTAATATAATACAGCATGCACCGCCATATTTGTCTGTGCATTTGAAGAGCACGTGCTACGAGCACAGTATAATGGCTGACAGAACAGGAAAATTGTTTTTTACTGACATTTGGCCTGACAACATCTCATCTGACCACAGTTCACTATTGTTCTACTGAAGCTCCCTCGTCACCTACACCTTTTCTGCACTCATTTGACTAGCGCCTGGTGCTGAGGTGAAGTTGGAGTGTGCGTTTGAAAAGTCTCCCATTTGATGTGATCGTAAATACGTTCTGCGTCTAAATAAACGCAATTCTTGTCAAAAAAAAAAAAGAGACAGAAGCAGCAGTTGTGAGTGGGGTGGCCAACACTAGCTCCGCCCCTGCATAAATTGCATTAAATATTTTTAACGTGTTAAACTGAAAAAATTAATCGCATGCGTTAACTCGCTAATTTTGACAGCACTAGTTAAAATGTCTCTTTCTTGCTCTTGCACTCACATGTTGTGTGATGATCCCTAAATGACACAACATGGGAAAATGTAATGTTACTAAATTGATTCAGAATCATATGTTCACCCTGCTAAAAAGGTGACGCATAGGCCAACATGAATGTCTATGCTATTTATACCGCTTAGTGTTGTTTTTGTCCTGTTATAGGCATACTTTTCATCTGACTGACCAGCATTATAGCATGAAGGAGATTTACTAAGGAAGTCTAGCTGGTTAAACTAGTAAAGAAGCCTGAAGCATCCCAAAATGGTTCAGGAATGTATTACCTTTGTCCGAATTAATGACCAACTTGTTCCTTCTTCACTCACACAAGAGCACATTACCGTTTTAATGAGTTTTAATGACTGATCAGGCACTTTAGGTTGAGCTGACTTTTGGACAAAGAGGATAACTACAAATCACTCTGTCAATGACAGCGCAAGTGACAAGAGAGACAAGATACAGACACAGAGACGCTTGCCTGGTGGTAATTGTCATTCATGAGCTTAGCTGTGACACATCGACTTGACATTAGAACTTGACCTGACATTAAAACTGGATTTGACATTAAACAAATACACACACGCACACACATACACAGGCATTGTAATAGTTAAGAGTTTACTGACTCATGAAATTCTAGGAATCGCACACTAATAGTTGACGTTTTAGATTTTCGGAGCGTGGCACTCTCAGCTTTGTGATTTGTCACTCACCCAGCCATGACGATAAAGAGGTCAAGGCGGTTCCAGGTGTCGCCAAGGTAACATTTCGGACCAAATATACCCAAGGCCACCATTTTAACCACCATCTCCACAGCAAAGAATGCAAAGATGAAGTCATCGAAGGCCTGTGGAGAGAAAAACCACAGATTGCTCATGAATACATTACACTAAAAAAGTGAAACAGCAGTGTCCTTTCATTTAAAGTACATTTTTAATCCTGTTTCATTTAGTTTGCCTAAAAGCAAACAACACTTCCCATTTAAATATTTTTTTAGGTTTATCCTATGTGAAAATTATACTTTCATATTACAAATGAAGTTGTAAAAAGCCAAAAAAATATTATAGTGACCTACTTTAAGTGACATTTTTATATTAGTCTATCGAAAATCTGTATTGTTAGTACACAACAGAATAATATAATCATATTTTAAAAAGACATCACAGTAAACAGTTGTCTTTAGCTGCAGTAAGTAAACTAAATGAAACATTGACTAACAAAATATCTTTAGTTTTATCTTAGGTGAAAGGTCTACTTTCATATTATAGTTAATTTAGTTTGTGTAACTATTTTGGGATTTTTTTTAACAGCAAATGTCTGAAAATGCTTCAGTGGATGCAGAAAATATTTGAGACGTTTGGACACCTAAAAATGAATTAATTTCATAAAATATCTATGCAAGTGGCATATGCAAATAAATAATCTAAGTTCACTTTTCTAAACCATTTTTTATCATTTGCTTTCAACTAACTGATCCCAAGGTGGTATTAGCGGATGTTTGAAGTCGGTTCCCCTCAAGTTCCCACAGGTGTCCTAGCAGAGCAACCATAGGTTTGTCTCCTAATTGATCTCATTTAAAGCAGCTCTTGTGTAGAAAATTCATCGCCTTCAACAATACATTTCAAGACAATCTCTGTCGGACTTCAAATCGCCTGTTGTTAGCAACGTTCCCTTTATTATGCAGAATCCACAGGTTATTTGCAAGTTGTTATGGAGAGATTAGAGATGCATATTTTTCTGAGTCTGTGGCTGATGCTTCATGGTGTCTTTGAGGGTTTCTGTCAAAACTGATAGTATATAATATAATATTTAATATTTAATATAATATTTAACTTTTTATTTCTGATGATTGTGCTTCAAAATTGATAAAAGTTGTGTTTATTTGTGAAGATTATAATGATGAACAAAACATAAAAGAATCATAAACTTTTGTTGGTCACAAAGCTTATTTCTGCAATAATCCAAAAGCCAATGGAAAAATCCTACTGGGTTTTTGACGAGGGAACGAGGGTGATAGGGAAGCTTGTTTCCACCATGGGAAAACAAAGAAAAGTTTTTTTTTAATTATTATAATTGCAAGATATAAACTCAGAATTGCAAAATATAAATGCAGAACTGTGAGATAAAATACAAAAATACATCATCACTGCAGCATTTTAATGTTTTATTTATTTTTTGCTTGAAATGTGCATTTCTGCTATAATTATGCAAATACCACTTAATTTGATATTTTGTTTTTATTTTGTTAATCCAATAGAACATTTTAAATGTGGCTTAAATGTCTAATTCGTCAGGCCACTGTTTGTATTTTTACTTGTATGCTTTTGTCTTTAATTGCTTTTCCCCAACCAAGTCAATCAAGGTAAAATCAAAGAATCACAGAGATTAAAGTCTTTAGTTAATCAATCCACGAGTGTTATGTAAGTGTGTGTTACCTGCAGGATGCTGCACCTGTCAGTGTTGCACTCCAGGTCTTGGCAGGGCTGGAACATGCCGAGCGTGACGCAGTTCAGCAGAATCACCAGCATGCTGACACGCTCAAACCACGTAGAGCTCTAGTTAAGGTAAATACAACTCACAACAAAATCAAGTTCAAACATTCCTTTTATATTCAGCAGTCATTTGTTTTTAGTGTCAGAACTTTCTGAAATAAGCAGTAAAAATAATAGACTATTCATTTTTTTTTAGTATATTACCAACCATGAAGAAAAAGGAAAGGGGCTTTAAATAAAACCTGTTTATCTAAATATAACACTTTTATTTACTCTTGATTTTGGGGTCTTTCTTGAGTAAAATGGAGTGTTTTAATACAGTTTAGCCTTTCAAAGCAAAATATACATTATTGTTCAAAAGTTTGGGGCCAGTAAGATTTTTTAATAATTAAATTAAATTAAATTCTTTAAAAAAATCTTAGCCCAAAATTTCAAACAGTAGTGTATAATAGAGAATAGAAGAAACAGAGTAAAACAGAGTCGAGAAGAGAAAGACTCAGTTACATTACATAATTATATTAATTTCATGCTTGCATAACTTGCATCATAACACTTATACTGTACTGTATTCTATTTGGAGAAATGCTGCTATATTTCCCCATGAACAGCTAACAGAATAGAATAGATTAGAATAGAATAACATAGCATAGCATAGCATAGCACAGAATTGAATAGAACAGAATAGAATGCCTTTTTAACACAGAACTATAAAATCAGGTGGTGAAATGGATGGAACTGAGCATGAATAATGTAAGACATTTGTAGATTAATAATTGATTTTGTTCTCAAGAAGGCTGAAATAATAGAATTTGGATTACTTAAAAACCCACCATAATGTTTTAATAAAACGTCTATTTTAATATGCTCAATTCCTGTTTGTGACCATTAACCATACAACTTAATAAAATGCAATAAAGCCATTTTGTTTTCATAAGGGTCTAATTAAAAACTGCAATTACATTTTCACATTACAGTGCACTGATCTACACACATACCTGCCACTGTAAAGGCAAACTCAGCCCCACAGGCACCACGATCAGACCAACCACTTTACCTCAGTAATCATAAACATGCCACAGCACACACCATCTCAATCACCACGGTAAATCCTGCAATTATCCTCATTTACATCAGGATACACCACACCACATTTACAACCTGATCAGGATTTAAAAAGCTTCTTTAAACCGTTAAGACGATATCTATCTTCGTCTCAGAGCAGCATTAATAGATGAGAGGGATGTGATCAGGCCCCTGCTGTTTCCTCAGGTCTGTGTCTTAGCAAAACCCTTCTGGAATTCCAGCAGACTTCCCTCTCGCTATAAACTGGGACAGCATTCCCCTCATCAAACATTTATCCAGAGCCTACACTAATGCATACAGACAACTCAGGTAACATTCATGCCACTTCAGCTGAAGATAATGATGAAGGTGATAGAGAACAGAAATAGGATGAATAAGGTGATGGAAATCTTTTAAAATCATTTGATCATGCACAAACCAGTGTTGGTGAGTAACTAATTGAAAAATAAAGACGTTCTTTCTTCTGTGGAACACAAAAGAAAATTATTTTGAAATGTGGCTCTCTTTTTTGGCCATACCGTGAAAGTCAGTGGGGTCCGATGTTTTTTTGAAGCTGATTTTCATTATATAGTCTAAAAAGATATATTTGTGTTCCGCAGAAGAGAGAATGTCAGAAGACCTCATTTTCATTTTTGGGCAAACTATCCCTACTTTAAATTATGTGTAGCTTGTAGCACAACGAACTATAGTTTTTTCAGGCACTGGTAAATTTTGAGATTGTGGGCTATTTTGCATCCATATGTGCTCTTCATTTAGGTGGAGCGTGTGTAAGGCTGGATAAGGCTTAGCCTTCCCTTGGCCACGTGTCGGAAATTAACGAGGTCTTGGGGCAAAAATTCCACCTTATGAATGCAATGGCCAATCAATTAGTCATCACTAAAACACTGGAGTTTATTCAGCAAGTGCTCACTGACAAAATTCTGCACTCTCGCGCTGCCACTGTAAAGGCAAACTCAGCCCCACAGGCACCACGATCAGACCAACCACTTTACCTCAGTAATCATAAACATGCCACAGCACACACCATCTCAATCACCACGGTAAATCCTGCAATTATCCTCATTTACATCAGGATACACCACACCACATTTACAACCTGATCAGGATTTAAAAAGCTTCTTTAAACCGTTAAGACGATATCTATCTTCGTCTCAGAGCAGCATTAATAGATGAGAGGGATGTGATCAGGCCCCTGCTGTTTCCTCAGGTCTGTGTCTTAGCAAAACCCTTCTGGAATTCCAGCAGACTTCCCTCTCGCTATAAACTGGGACAGCATTCCCCTCATCAAACATTTATCCAGAGCCTACACTAATGCATACAGACAACTCAGGTAACATTCATGCCACTTCAGCTGAAGATAATGATGAAGGTGATAGAGAACAGAAATAGGATGAATAAGGTGATGGAAATCTTTTAAAATCATTTGATCATGCACAAACCAGTGTTGGTGAGTAACTAATTGAAAAATAAAGACGTTCTTTCTTCTGTGGAACACAAAAGAAAATTATTTTGAAATGTGGCTCTCTTTTTTGGCCATACCGTGAAAGTCAGTGGGGTCCGATGTTTTTTTGAAGCTGATTTTCATTATATAGTCTAAAAAGATATATTTGTGTTCCGCAGAAGAGAGAATGTCAGAAGACCTCATTTTCATTTTTGGGCAAACTATCCCTACTTTAAATTATGTGTAGCTTGTAGCACAACGAACTATAGTTTTTTCAGGCACTGGTAAATTTTGAGATTGTGGGCTATTTTGCATCCATATGTGCTCTTCATTTAGGTGGAGCGTGTGTAAGGCTGGATAAGGCTTAGCCTTCCCTTGGCCACGTGTCGGAAATTAACGAGGTCTTGGGGCAAAAATTCCACCTTATGAATGCAATGGCCAATCAATTAGTCATCACTAAAACACTGGAGTTTATTCAGCAAGTGCTCACTGACAAAATTCTGCACTCTCGCGACTTCTATCATCATAAACAACAGAGTGCAGATGTACGTGTGGTGAAAGAGATTAATTTTACATTGTAGACAGCTTCATTGATTATAACTTTTTTAGAGTGTTTAAACTTGCGTTAGATTGAAGTCAAAGATGATGTTTTTTGATAATGCAAATGTTCTTTGCCTGCTTTCTGTGTATTATTTATTCGCTGTTTTATAACCGTAAAAATATAATCATTATAATTAGTAAATTACAATGTTTTTTATTAAATTGTGATCATGTTAGATACAAATTCAGTCATATGCTATTAAAAATATGTTATGACACCCAAATATCTGGTACTTGAAGTTGCCTAAAAAGGTTTATGATGTGCTGACATTAGGATACTTTCACCCTTACCCGGGAGTTGGTTCACCCTCCGCCTATGTTGAATGAAAACACTGAAAATACACATTTAAGTGTTTATTTTATATCTATTTGCATCTGTAGATCACAATACATATTTTTAAATTCTCAAAATGAGTTTTTTCTCCTGCACTGAGCCAGAAATCTCCACTTCAGTAGCACTAACATACACCAAACTGAAGGTTTTAACAGAAGGGGTTGTTCATTCATCTGATTAATGTAATATTTATTTGTAAAAATATGGTGATGTGATATATATATATATATACTGTATATATCACATCACCATATTATATTATATATATATTATATACAGTGCACAGCATAAATGAGTACACCCCCTCTGATTAAATATAAAAGATGTATTTTCTTAATGTTAAAAAGGGGAGGGTAGCATCTTCAGTTTCAGGTTTTTGTATTACATCACACAGTGGTGTGTGAATTCATGACAGCGTTGATAAAGTACAACTCCGTCACACCTTCAGCACTCATACATCCTTTTAGAAGAGCTTTACTACCACTGAACGTCACTGTGAGAACCAGGCACTTCTCGCTATACTCCTCCTCTAGCAACACCAGAACATTTTGGATGCTGTTAGATCCGAAATGATTGAATTGGTCTCTTGAGACCAGAGTATGCATGTCACTTCTGCAGGCTGCGTCATACTCTGTGAGATAAAGTGTCACTCTTTTCAGAAGAGCTTTACTACCACTGAACGTCACTGTGGGAACCAGGCACTTCTCTCTGTACTCCTCCTCTAGCAACACCAGAACATTTTGGATGCTGTCAGATCCGAAATGATTGAATTGGTCTCATGAGACCAGAGTATGGATTCCCAGAAGTCTATATTTTGTAAATATGGGCCTTGGAAAAAGCTAAATGAGTTTATTGTGCTTTGGCTACAGTCGGTAGTTCTGGTGTGGATAAACAACCATGCATGTCACTTCTGCATGTTGCATCTTACTCTGTGAGATACAGTGTCACTCTTTTCACAGCTTTTGCCGGCTCTGAGACACTTTCACAGTGTTTCTCCTGCTCTTTTTCTAGCAAAAACTCACTCATCACTAAATGAAAGCTTAAAGTGAAGACCTGATTATTTCAGGGGCCTTTTCACAAGTCCATTGTTTTTGAATTTCTGTGTTACTTTGGCTATATTTTCACACTTAAAACAATAATTTGTTATTCCTCTTGTACAATTGTCCTCTTTTATGCTAAGAAATAAATCTCCTGACAGTTCTCTCTCAAGTGGTTTCATTGTTGTCAGGATTAAGTCTGAGTATGATTCAGTGGGCCATATAACACTTAATTATCAAGAAATTACTTACCTTTAACAGTTTTGGTTCAACATACTTACCTGTTGATCAATACTTGCCTTAACCTTACACCAGGATTTTTTATTTTTTTTAGTTTTATTTAGTAACTTTCAGGAGGGTGTACTCATTTTTGCAACACAACATTTCATCACTTTGATAAGAAAATTTTATTTTCTTGAATAATTTTAACATTCTTCTTTGGTAACTGATCAAGCAGACTTGCTGGAATATTATATCTCTAAAAAATGTAGACTTCTTCTAAGCAAAGAGTAATTGCTGAATTTGTTAAGTTTCAGAGGGGGTGTACTCATTTATGCTGT